AATCATGTATGTACATACTATTTGTGTGTACTCATTTGAGTATTTAGAAGTTATGTAAATTTGTATGTTTTTATGTAAGTAAGAACTCTTGACTGCATGTCCGCTTGGTTGAGTGAATTAATTCAAGCAAATTTTTCGAATCAATGTATGTTTTTAGGCAAGTACTTATGCATATTCGTATATCAGTATGACAGGCACGTTTATATGATTGTATGTAAAGACGTATGAATGCCAGTCGTGATTCTTTTTGTAATGCGTGATTCTTTTTGTATGAATGTGTGTATACATTTGTCTTGAAAGTGTGAAGTGAATGCAAGTTGGTTTGTGTGTTTACATGTGCTTGTATTTTAAAGGTCAGCAGAACTAATAAGTAAAATCTTTGCATGTATGTAAGCAAAACTTGCGTGTGTGTCTATTTATGTAAACTGTATGTATCTATGTAAAAGTGTACAACGTTTTGCATGTATAAATGTAATTAATCATGTATGCACATACTATTTGTGTGTATTCATTTGAGTATTTAGAAGTTATGTATATTTGTATGTTTTTGTGTAAGTAAAACTTTTTGAATGCATGTGCGCTTGATTGAGTGAATGAAAACCAGCAATTATTTTGTATCAATGCATGTTTTTCAGTTTAAAAGCATTTAAAAGTTAGCTGGTTTGTAAGTTGTACAAATTTATGATTGAAGTTTTATGTCCGTTTAAAAGGAAAGTGTGTAGACATGAGTAGTTGCATGCTTGTAAAGTACAATCCATGTCTTTTTGTAGGCAAGTACTTATGCATATTCGTATATGAGTATGAAAGGCACGTTTATATGATTTTATGTAAAGACATATGAATGCCAGTCTGTAGTGCGTGGTTCTTTTTTGAATGCAAGTTGGTTTGTGGGTTTACATGCGGTTGTATTTTAAAGGTCAGCAGAAACCTTAAGTAAAATCTTTGCATGTGTGTAAGCAAAACTTTTCGTATAATTGATTGCAGCTTTAAAAGTATGTAAGCAAGTATGTAAAACTTATGTATAGATGGTAGTTATTTTGCATTCTTCTTAAGTATAAGACTCTATGTTTGTTTTCATACCTTTATGTCAGACTTAATTTTTGAATGTTTGTATGTATGGAAATATTTTTGAATATATGTATGTAATTTTGTGTGTATGGTTGTATGGATGTCTCTAAGTAACATTATTTTTGTATGTATATATGTAAGTACGTATGTATGTATCTATATGCATGTATCTATGTATATATGTGTTTATGGAAGTTTGTGCTTATGTATACATGTATGTATGTTTGTTTTCAGTATGTGTGTATTTAATTGTTTTTGTATGTAAGTTTCTATGAATAACCTTATGTAAGTATTTAAATGTGTATGAACAAACGTATGTCTAATAAAATACGTATCCCTATATTTTGTAAGAACGCATTTAAGTTTGCAACTTATGAAAATGTATTTATGTTTTTATGTTTATACAAGTATGCAGCTTTATATGTTTCGTGGGGTATGTATGTTTGAGTATAGTTGAAATCGTTTATTTTATTTTAAATAAAAGTATATATCTAACTCAATCCAAAACTTTCTTATCTCTCTTCTTAAGTTTCTCGAACATTCCAGAATAATCAACCAGATACTATAATGCTAGTTTTTTTTTCGTTTTCTTGATTTGCGAAACAATTTGATAAATTTTTTTAAAAATTTTTTCCTCGAAATATTTGATCTTCCAGGTATCCTCATTATGAACAATTCAATTTGAAAAAGTGGCATATGCAGCATTGAGTTTAATTTCAATTTATCTGCAGTTATGGATTATGAAAAATGTTTTAAATTTGTAACAGGAAAGATCAGTTTTCAAGTTTTCACAAAAAAATGTCGATGGAAGCAGCAAATAACAAGTCCAATTGGAGACAGCATGGAGTCCAAACTGTTTGATGAACTGCTGCTCATTGAGATAAAGATTACGATAACCAAATTATTAGAAAAAAATGATGGTTTATTGAGGAAAATCATTGACCGTGCAGACGAATACGATCGATGGAAGAAAAAGACATGCGGCTGGTAGAGCTGAAGACGGTAAGCGGGCACAGTTTAAATGACAGGTACTGTATATTTGAAGGATGATTGATCAATCTCTAAAAATAACAAATTTTCAATGGTTTTCATTTGAAAATTCATAATGAATCAAACTTATAAACCAACAGAAGTGAAGCAATTGTGTAATCAGATAAACAGTCAGTACCACTTTTTTAAATTCAAGATTTATTTAGTCGATAGAGCGTTTTATGAAATAGCTCAAAATGCTTACGCCTTTTGTCTTTGAAATTAATAGCAAGTCTTTCTGCATTGAGGCTCAAAATTTGTAAAACTGTCTAACAAACTTTTTATTGGCAAATTAAATATGTCTTTGTTAGTCGTTCCAGCTTAAGATAACACAACATAAATGATGTTTATCGAAATGCATTGAAACTACAAAATGGCACTTACAACATTTCGGAAACTGCTGTAGCCAATTTGGTGTGAAAGCATTGTTTAGTGTGAAACAGCTATCATCCTGACGGAATCCGAAGATTCAGGTAGAGTGTTATTGATAAGGCTTGATTTTTTATCTTACAATTTCAAACAACTAACCGTTTTACGAAGACATGTTTTGTTAATAGAGAAGACAAATATCGATGTAAAAATGAGAAGAAATATCATGATGCGAACTGCTTTGATACTGCTAGTGATCAGAACGTGAATGTGAAAGCTTGGATCACCCCAAACATATATTGAAAGAAAGGTTGAATTCTTGATAACACAATTAGTTGTTGATGAATAATCGAATATTTTGGTCAAAAAGCCACCGTATTTTGAGAGGCAATAGCGTAATCATGGAAACATTCAAAAGATCAGATTTACATTAAAAAACACTCAAAATTTGATTTGTTGAGCAGAAGATTAATCAATGATCATAACTGATAGTGCTTCAAATTTTTGAATAGAAAGCTCTAGCTAAAACCAATTTGAACTTAATCAGAAGATACTGAGAACAGTTGACCAGATTGTAGTATCAAATTAAAAAGTTAATTATTTGCATATTCTTTTAATGGAAAAATCAAAAAGTTTGGATGGTCAAATTATAACTCCGAATTTATATCAAGTTTGTATCCATAACTTGTCTTAGTTTGTGTTCAGTCTTTCCCGATTGAGTTTGCTTTAATTTGAAAAACTGCTTTCCTTAAAGGTCGCAAATAAGTTTTCACCTGCTTTATTTGATGGTCACTCTGTTCTGTCGTATATATTGGTACACAAATAACAGTTTTCCCCCAGTTTCTAGGTCCGCTTTGATGAATATTTTCAAAAATTCTGTTAGCACAATAAAGTTAAAAATAAGTACTAAACGTTTTCTAGAAGCTCCGGAAATTGTTTCCTTTTTATTATAAAAAGTGGTATATGCAAGTCTTAGAAATGGCTGCAGCAAAACTAAGTGTTCATCAGTGTTCTCGTTTTTCAAGATCTTTAGCCACTTCAACTTATTAGCTCTTTCAACCTTTCTATAAAATCGAAATTTTTTTCATAGATTTCAGACGTTTTTTCAGTCTCCTGTAGACACGGAAAATGGAAATGTCGAAAATTTCAAGCCAACTTCATTATTTTATAGTTTTCAGTGTTTCGTAATTTTTCTCTGTTTTTTACCTTCAATTAGCTTAAAGTAATTTTTCATTTTTATTTCGATCATATTGACCATTAATTTTTGCCTAAATAGAGGTGGCGGCCGCCGCACTTGACGAATTTTCCTTTCTTCGAGATTCAGCAATCAAACATGTATTTTTGAAGGAAATCGTTCACCGCAGCCAACAGCTAAACTACGCTGCCAAAATCTTGTGCTTTCCTATATACCATATAGTTTGGTTGCATATAATAGGTATATAACGTCATTTTACATGTAAACAAGCCAATACCCCCAAACTTTAGAAGGGAAAACATGCACCAACCAAAACTTAATTCCATTCCCATTTCCATAAAGTGGCTGGAAAATTACCAATTTTAACCCCCCTTTAAACATGCGTGCCTGAAAAAGTAGGGGCTTTAACCCCTTTGGGGGTTGAAATTGGTAAGTACAACGGCACACCGAATTTTGGGGGGTGGGGTTAAAAGTGGTAATTTTCCTAGCCACTTTTACTTTACTACTGATGATTGCTGGATTTCAAGCCGTTTGAAATTAACGGCTTGAAGTATATTTCGCCATAAATTTTGTTCTGATTGACTTTTTCAAAAAAGTGTTTATCCAAGCTGAGAAACAGGCTTGGTTGATCTAAAAAACCAAAAAGTTTTTGGAATTTCATTTGCAAATATTCTTTGATTTGACAATTCAAAACTTTAACTTAAATAGCAATTAATCACTGTCGGTGATCCTTCGGCACTGTGGTACTTGAAAATCTATAACTAAGCATTTAAATTTTTTACGACCAATTTTTGATTTTTTTTTTTGAAAATTTCATCAATTGTTGGAAAGTGAAAACTTCTCTATAGACACTACAAGCCAATTGAAACTTTTAAGGCTTCGTCCTGATACAAGCAGTCTTGTTAGTGTTCCAACTTTCGAAGAAAGTAAGGAAGATATATGCTCGGGGTGTTTTTTGTCCAGAGCAATTTTCAAAAGAATGCTACTCTCGGGGATCGGTACCTTGATCTTCGTGTTCTCCCCACTTCACTTACCTGACTTTACGGCATCTATGAAATGAGCTTAATTAAAAGCTCGTTTTATATTTTATGAAAGTGTTCAGCGCGTGGTTTAGGCGTGGCGCATTATCCCGCACCACAAAATTATTCCAAATTGAACTGAGTCAAATTAATTGGTTTTACTATTTCCATACACAATTCATGATTTAACACTTGAAATTTGATATTATCAGCCTAAAATTAAAAGTTTGGTCAAAATTTCATTAACCAAATACTATTCAGGATCAGTTAACGGGCGGTCGGAACATTCAAGGTTCTACCAGTCATGTATTTTTTTTTAGCTCCGGCAGTTAAAAGCCTATATAAGACAGCAAGAAAACATGGAACGAGTTCTACATGCTAAAGAAGAAAACAATAAAAAGTACCTCGCTTGTGTCTCTGTCTTATCCGAGTCGCAATTTGTGACTCTGCTTGAAGCAGAAGGAACTTTACAAAGAACTGAGTTTGAAGCAGAAACGGAGAGAATTGAAAAAGCGATTAAATTTATTTCGCGTTTACTTGTCCGACAGATGGAACTAGAAAACCAATTAAAGCAGGACATTGTTCAAAATGTTGATTTGCTTCAGCGTCACAGCCAAATCATTCACCAAGCAAACGGTTTAACTGAAAATATCAAAACTTGGAAGCGACAATTGGATGATCATTTGGCACCAGCAAATCCTGGATTTCTTGTTAAGTTGTATCGTCAATTTGAAAACATCGCTGCGAGGACTGTCTTAAGACGCCCGAGGAATTTAAGTCAAAATGAGATAAATTGGCTTCAGAAGAAACAGTTTCTTAAAAACAAAATGGAGAGATCGGTTGAATCTTACCTAGAAATTGACGAAAAAGCTGCAGTGAAAGAAGTTTATGCCAAGTTGAGACTTATTGAACCGAAACCACCTTGCAATTTGGTAAAAGTAAGTAGATATTATCTTACCCCGGAGCTAGACCGATTCGGCAAATGTAAAGACCGAACTTATGAGGAGTGGAACTCATTAGAACTACCAGACGAAAACGAGGAGGTCTACAGGCTTCCCGAGCTGATAACAGAAAAAATCTCCAATATTGACGCTAAGACCAAGAAATTGCAAGAACAAATCTTGATGGCAACGAAGATAATAAATGAAAAATACGGAAATCGAAGTAAATTGAAGACCGAGCCGAAAGCGCCAACAAGCTCGCCTTTACTTTTTCGTTCTGAATTTCAAGTCAATCACAGAAAAACGCTCGAACTTGTTAGTGAAACTCTGGAGCTATTAGACTTCCCCGATAATTGTCAAAAGAAAGTTAACCAGTTACGCAATGAAAAAATAGTTCTGGAGAAAAAATTGAAGCAAGTGTATGATGCCTCGATTCACAACGAATCTATTGCCAAGATAGGAGCAATATCTTATAAAGCTAGTCCGTTTAATTTGGCACTATGTGCTGCACTTAACGAGGTTGACTATCGTACGAAACTTTATTCACCTGAAGTGTCAGAGAACCGTATCAGGCAAAACACTGAACTGCAAATGTGTCTGATGCGTGAAAAGAATCGCTGCAAGTTAGAATGCAGCGAGAGTAAACTTCCAATTTTCTGCAAACGAGCTGAACTACTTGACGCCATGCGTGAACACAATGTTGTGGTGGTTGTTGCCAACACAGGAAGTGGAAAAAGCACCCAAGTTCCTCAGTATTTAGCGGACGATCTCCACCATGTCCTGAACGACTTGCATCAGCGGAGGTTCCCTAGAATTGCTTGCACCCAGCCGCGCCGCGTAGCCGCCACGACGATTTCGAAAAGAGTTTCTCTTGAATATTCGGGAAGTATTGATTTTGCAAAAAGTAAGAATTCAAAGAATCAAGCGAATAGTTTTCAATCCAAGAACTCTGCGGTCGCTGCGTATCCACTGTACAGTGCATTGAGTCAAAATGAACAGGATCGTGCATTAGATATTAATGACCGGTTAGGCTGGATGGCAGACCTCCCATCTGTATCGAATAAGAAACAAGCGTCACCAGAAATTGCCAAAAATGATTTGGAGGGAACAATGGGAGATGAAGGCGGCTGGGTGGGGTTCAGAATCGGGCGCAAGGGAATGTCAAATTGGGACCGGGACAAATTCGAAAAAGTTGGGAATGAGACTCGAATTGAGTTCGTGACCGAAGGACTTCTATTGCACTCCATTAAACAACAGGAAACGCCCTATGACTGTGTGATTGTGGACGAAGCGCATGAGAGAGGCAGGGACACGGATTTCCTGATGGCACTGCTGCGGCAGATTCTTATGGGGGTAAATTTAAGCAGGTTTATTTGATGCGCCATTACTCTGTGAAATTATTTTTATACTTCAATGAAAACTGAACGAGTTCTTAAAAAGCACAAGGAATGCCAAATAAATAGCGTTTAACTTATTCCGCTTTTTTTTCAAAAGCAGTTTGATCAGGACGCCAATATTTTCAAAACTTTTTTGAAGGGTGAATGAAAACCCATAATAAAGAGCATCACTTCGAACGTCGATTAAATCTAAAATCTAAATGCTAACTAAAAATTATTAAACAAAGTTGATTTTAAAAATCAAAACACTTAATTAAGCCTGAGAAAGCGTTTTCAATTTTTAGTGCAGCTCTCTTTGAGGGGCTTTTTCTTATTTAAAATTATGAAGAAAATTAGTGAATTCAAAACAAAAGGCCACTGCGTGCTGGTAATATCTAAGAACAAGTCAAATTTCACAAACACTCAAATCGAATGAAAATTATGAAAAGTTTTTGTTACATCTGACTGTAATGTGCTATCGACCAAATTTGCTTGATTTTTCTTCCACCCTTCAGAACTCTGGCTCTAAATTGAAAGTGGTGGTGATGTCTGCATCCATTAACCAGCAACAGTTTTCGGAGTACTTCTTGGGTTGTCCTGTCATAGAATGCGAGGGTCGGATGCATGCGGTTGAATTGATTTACAAGCCCGTGCCGACGGAAAAGATAGAGTTTGAATATCAAACAGGCAGTTTCTCTGAAAACTATGATTCAGACAGCGAATCATTTGATGAATCAAATGACGAAGAAAATGAAACGCCAAGTAAATCGAAACTAGTTTTGCATGCTGTACATGTCCTTTTTAACGATATAATCCCGCGAGAAAAAGGCGACGTGTTGATATTTCTACCAGGAAAGCGAGAGATTCACGGCGCCCTTGAACTGATCAAGAACTTGTCGGGAAATAGAGGTAACTTAACTTGTACGAATTATGTCAGAAAAGTCGTCTGTTGTACGAATATTGCCGAGACATCGCTTACAATTCCGGGCGTGAAATACGTAATTGATGCAGGATTAGCTAGAAAAGTAGCCTACGATCACGAATTGCGGGTCACAGCGTTAGAGCTGCAATCGAACTCTCAAGCTTCTGCTAAGCAACGACAGGGCCGAGCAGGTAGAATTGAACCGGGTTTCTGTTACCGAGTGTGCTCCGAAGAGGAATTTGAAAAGCTTAAAAAGTACGACGAGCCCGAATTGAAGCAATGCCCGATCGATGAATTGTATCTTTACGCTTTGAAGTGGTTTGGGTCAATTGAAAACCTTGTTTTGATGCCTGATGCCCAGCCTGATGAAAGCTCCGTTCGTTTTGCAGAGGAAAGACTTCTAAATTTGAAGTTCATCATTCGAAGCCCAATGAGAGATATATCGCTTCCAGATGAGGGAAAATTGGCTATCAATTTAATGGGTCAAATATCATTAGAAGGAGTACGAATGATTTTAGAGTCTAGGAAACTTGGTTTGCTGGTACAAGCAATTCAATTTGCCGTACTAGTGAAACAAGGTTCAGATTTGCAGGTTAAAAAAGTGACACGTTATGAAGTTGAAGGACGTAGTTTATACTTGGATGAACTTGGAGACGCTTTCACGTGGTTTCGGATCTACAAAACGTATCTCGAAATCGAACAAAGAAAAGGACGCTCAGAGACGCACACAGATCAACGGGAATGGAAGGTCATACAAAATTTGGGTGCCAAAAATTGGTGTCAAAACATTGGAGTCAACTATGAAATCTTGAGAAGCATTCATAAGTCTATCGATTCAGTGTACAGGACTTTGAAGCAACAAAAAATTGTTTCCCAGGAGTTTCATGAACAATTTGTGCCATTGGATCAAATACTGGAACCCCTTCACAACTTATTGGTTACTGGCTACTTTCATAACATTGCAGAGATGCACGAAAAACCGTTCATCGAAAGCGGCTACTCAATGCTGACGCCATCAAATGTCACTCGAGATTTCTGTGAAACTGAAAGAGGATCTTCTGAACAGAACCATACACATTTGCTGAAAATTTATCTCTCCAACAAATCAGCTCTTTCAAAACTGGGCGATGTTGTTGAAAACACCTATGTCATATTCACAGAACTCTTCAAGACCTCAGGGGGAAAAGTGTTCATGCAGGCCGCTTGCAGAATCCAGTCTGAAAAAATCATCGATCACGCTTCCGACAGGTGGCTGAAACAGAACAATATAGTTCAGAGGAAAATGCCTTTTTCCTTATCAGAGTTGAAAAGCTTCGTAACTAAATTACCCATACAATTTGTAGGGCCTAAAATTTTGGGAGAAGTTCTAAAGGAATTGAAGCACATGAAACTTGATGATGACTCGAGCTACCTTCAAAGTTTGGAGAAAAGATCGGGGGCCGTTATCAGATTCATGTTTGATTCGGGTCAAATTGGAATATATGGCTCGGAATGCGAAGCAAAAAATGCCAATGAAAAATCAGACCTAAAAAAATTGGTTGAGGATAAAAAACTTCAGTTCATAAGAAACGACTACCAGGTGCCTTACCCACACTCGAAGAAGCGGAGGACTCTGGGATTATTCGAGTCTGGATTGCGGCTCAATGACACTGCTATTTCTGTTCCCCAGGCTGAAGTTGTGACGAATTATAGCAAGATCAAGCCAACAGTTATCATGTTTCGAAATATTGCCCCAGATGAGAAACCCAATTTAGAAGCAACTCTGGAGGATATCAGAGAAAACTGCCACAATGACGAAGTTTTGGAATTATGGGGCGAACCACAGATTTTTGATAACGATTTCTTCACCGATCGAACAGGTTGTCCATGCCTTAAGATAAAATTCACCTCTGCTATAGTCGCTGAATACATAGACAGTAATTTCAAAAGCACAGCCGAGCAAAATGGCCTTTCAGAGGCTCATTGCTTTCTGGACAATAACGTCGAAATTTTTGTCCCGGACACCTATATTTATCCTTCAGTACATGAAATCGCCGAGGATTTTCCTGATGTCAAAATCACTGCACGGAAAAGATTGTTTGTGCTATCGTCTCTAAATTGGAAAGCAAAAAATTCCGTCATCGACTTCAAAAACACACTAAACGAACAGGAAATTTTCCTCAGCGAAGTTGTGAAAGAAACTGACATAGGACTTCCAAAAAGTGCCTGGAAGCATACGTTCAAACGCCTTCAGGAAATTAAGGAGAAAGTTGAGAGTGAAAGCGAGTGCGAAAATTATCTGATACAACTCCATGGGAGCATCAAACCATTCTTTGAAGTTTTTGGTGACGATAAGTACGAAATAAGCTGTGATATTCAAACCGAACTTGATTTAGTTCGGGGAAAAGTGAAGAACCACGAAGACAATTTATTGTTTTTTCTTAGCTACAAGCTTCAACGTGGGGAACTGAAGCGGCTTCGTACGAAGTTGAGTGAATTGAGAGGTCAATTTTTATCTGATTGCGTCGCTTTCACAGTTACCTTAGGCTCCCGAAACGACGACAAAATCCTTCCCACGGTTCGCGTTTTAGCACCATCTAGAGAACTCGGATTAAAAGCGTTCTACGAATTAAAAAGAAATATTGAAACCACGCAAGCAACGAGCACAATGGAAGCGAAAAATGGAGATACGAAATGCTGCAAATGCCTTCAAAAAATTCACCTTGACAAACCTTTAAAACATATCAAAAAGAAAAAAGGTGCAGATGTTGTCGACTTGAATCCAGAAGTTCACGATATGGGTTTTAGTCTTACAATTTGCGGATGTATTTACTGTTCATCTTGCCTGTACAACTTGGCATGTGATCAGATTGAAGCCGGAATATTCCACAAAAGTGGAATCAAGTGTGACGCAATATCCGACCAAACCAGGAAGATGTGCGACCAGATTATAATAAACCAGGATCTGAAAGACCGTTTGTCTTTCAATTTATGGAGTGATCTATTGGATGCTGCTTGGCTATCCTACTTGACCTTCTGGGCGTCTTCAAAACCGGTGGTGATCGATTCGTGTCCCGCTTGCATGGAGTTCTTCACGTATCCGAGAGGCATTGTTGGAGTCATAAGATGTCCTAACTCGTACTGCAAGGACTACCATTGTTCCAGATGTGGTTCAACAGTTTATGACGAAGACACATTCTATTATCATACCAACGAAAATTGCAGCTGTGCAGATTAGCCATCTCAATTTATGAGTCACCATAAGAACCTCCTCACATCACGTCCATGACTTAACAAGTTGGTTTGCAACAAACTTATTTCCAAAATAAAATTTTATTAGCTAACTTGTTCTCCGTTGATTTCATATGTATATATTTGGATTAAAAATGTCTAATTAAAATTTATTTTTTCACTGTATCGTCCAATGTAACTTCAACCAACCAACGAACTATATTCAGCGCTAAGAAGGTTATATCGATGGTTGATCCATACAGCTCCCTAAAACAAACTTGACGACAAATAAGACCAGAAGATAACTAGTAAGAAGAGTGAGAACGTCAGCTAATTGGAACCTTCAGTAAAAAGCGACACTTTAGTGAAAAATTGTTATGAATTGCTCCGTTTTTCTAAACACAGAGACTTCGGACTGATCACAGACAAATTCTTAAAGGGATGTTTACCTTGTTGTAGTATTACCAGATTCTTACATGTTTTATTCATCGACTTCAAAAACACACTAAGCGAACAGGAAATTTTCCATGTTTTATCAAATTCTCTCTTTCTAGTTTAAAAAGCAGCAAACTCGGGGAAATAAAAAACTGAAAAAATTTTCGAACAATTTTGATTTTTTTACCCTTGCGATAAGCAAGGGTATTGCAATCGGGTACTAGACTTTTTTTCCGGAAACAACTTTCTTCACATGTTGATATCCCATTTTGAGATATCCTTTTTCTGTACGTTGCATATTTAGCAGTGCCTAGGGTTAATGCGCCTAGAATTGATGCTTTACTGGATCTACAGGTAAATAAACAGAGATGCAAAATTGTTTTTTTTTTGTAGGCTTAATATATTTCGGCCCAAATTTTGTCGGCGGCTTATTTGCCGGGTGTTCTTTTTAATTTTTTTTACAATTGATTATTAGAGTCAATTCGAAGAAAATAGCACGATGAAAAGCTTTTTCACACAAATGTTTTTCTAGCACACTTTTTTATATACGCTAAATCTTTCAGTTTGAAAAGAAAAAACTTAAAGCTATTTTTTGTTTTATTTTTTAATTTAAATTCAAGTTTCTTTCGAATCCATGGTTTTTGATTACAAGTTCAAATTCAATCAAGCATCTGGCGTAGAAGTAACACACCTGCTTAAGACGGCAAAGGACTGTGATTTGATTCCGACCGGGATGTGTTTTTGCAAACTTAGTTATTTCGGACGATCCTATTTTTTTGTTGGTTTGATTCCCGTAGCCCACATTTTTGAAATTTCAGCTTTCTTCCAAATGCAATAACACCGATGCTTCAGACGACAAAGCTCAGGATTTCAATTCCAGTTGGAACCTGTTTCTTTGCTGACTTAGTTACCGCAAAAAGGAGTTTTTTGAAAGTTCGACTTCATTCCAGCATTCGAAAGCTCTTTGAAAAGTTTATAACGGTGCAGATAATTTTGTTCCAGATATTTTGGGCGGTTGCAATTTTTTAGAAGACAAAAACGACTTTTTGAAGTTTTTTCAACTTTTTTTTACTTGATTTCAATCCTAGTCATTCATTTTTGAATCGCAACTAGTGCGAAGCTCAGCTTCGCCTCTGTTTCAAAACTTTAAAGCTTTATAAAGAAGAAAAAACAGAACATAATATGCTAACTGCACAGTAAAAGAGTAAAAGTCTATTTTTGCCATTACATGTGCTTAGTTGTTTAAACAATGAAACTACATGATCTCACAAAAAAATTATCAGTATAAAACAGCTTGAAACGCGAAAATTTGCTGTTTATTTTGCTTCGATGTTTTAATGATGAATATTTGGTCACTTGAATATTTTTTCATATATAAAACTTTTTCTCTTTAAACTAACAATGAATATGAAATATTCCTCTTTATTCAAATTAATAATTTGGTTCTGAGAAACAAAATTGGTTCTGATTTAATAAAGAGAGAAAAACGTTTAAAAAATCCAAAAACATTCTAATTGAATTCCGACTCTTTCTGCAGAATCTAACCATATCTCAAACAGAAAACGTTTTAATGGTTTACTTAGAACTCAATCACGATATAGAAAAACCCGCATGAAAATTAAAAAGTCATAAGGTAAAAAAAATTTAACATTTTTTTAAGAAACATTTCAAAACTTAGAAAAACAGAAAGAAGTTAAATGAAAACAAAGCAATTAAACATTTTTATTGTTTCATTTAATCAACAAAAAAAACGAATTATGATTGTTATATATAAGCAGTCAGAGCTTTGAATAAAGCAAGAAAAAAACGATACATCAACTAAAAATGTTGCAAGCAACCATCAGCAAGAATATTAGCTAAATTGAAAGTGATTCAATTCAATTTAGGATGTTCTTTTTCGGAAACACGGCTGAACAATAGATGTGAACTAATATTGTTTACTGAACGGTTCTCATAACTTGAGTGCATTAAAAATAACGAACAACTAGATGCTACTATACTTACTCAGCTAACTCCTCCAAAAAATCAGATAGTAAACTGGAATCGAATGCAACACACGTGTCCAGAAATTATAGGCAAGTTAAACATAATAGAAACGTCTTTCGAACAACTTAGGCTCAGTATCGGCTTCTAATTATATAGGCAGAAAAAATTTTAAAGCATAGAAAAAACATCAAAGCAGTAAATATTTCAACATAATTCGAGTCTACAAAAATTCATCAGAGGTAAAAATAATCGTGATAGCATACTTCATTATAGTGAATATAATCATAGTTAAAATCATCGAAATCATAAAAATCATAATCATAAGAACTAATCATAAAAATTATTACTATGATAATCATATTAATCATAACAAAGACAATTACACAGAAGCGTAGCTGACCTTGCACCATTTGAACAACTGTTACCCTACTTATTCAGTTTGAGCAAAAAATTGAAAAGCATTCACAATATTCAAAAAAGATAGCTGGTTACTATGCAATTAGCACAGAATGTTCCGACCATTATCTTAAAAAAATTCATTTTTAAAAAAAAATTTATGCCATTTGTTAATTTTTTTGTTTTGTGTGATAGTATGATCTGAAAGAAAAAAAATAGAAATTGGGCATACTAATAAAGGCCAATTGCAAAACAAAACAGTTTTTGTAGAAAAATATCACAAAGAAATCATGTAAAAACATGTTAAATTATTTTGAATCTGTAAGATTTCGATTCCAAATTGACGCTAAAAACTCGAAAAACTTTTTTTCCGAGTAAAAGTAAGTTTATACGGCTTAAATTGAACATAAAATAAGCTTTTTTTTGGGCCTGCTTAGCCTACACTTATTGACTTGAAACTAGACCAAAAATTGAAAACTTCAAACTGGGTTTTCTCGACAAACTGGGAATTTTTTTCAACATTTTTTAATGTCAATCAAATCACAACTGAAATCGCTTATGATATATTACTATTTGTGATTATAAAACTGATTTTTAACAAGATGATATTTTGTGGTACCTGATTTTGCGTGAAAAACAAATTAACAGAAAAAACTAAAACAAACCCGAATACAAAGTTCCTCCACATTTTTCAAATGTAAAAAGAATAGAAAACTATAGAATGAGTATTTCCAATGATTACATGTGGTACCTAATTTTGCATAGAAATGATCGGAACAATAGAAAACTCAGTAAAATATAAACCATATTCGAAGCTTCAAATGCATTAAAAAACTCACTAGTAACTGAACACAACTTCCCAAACTGCCTTCATCAGTGAAAGGCAATGACTGTTCATTGTACACTGATAAAAACAGCAACTTTTGAATTGATTGATTTAAATTCAAGCTAAACTATTTAGCTGAAACTAAAAAAATATCGTGAAAAACACAAACTGCAATTGATTTGATCAAAATGGTTCAAACACTTCATTCAAAGTTTTCATACTTTTTCAAAATGAGTCAGTCAACATTGAAGCTCGGCGATGACTGTATTCTGATTCAAACAAGCAGAGACTATAACCAACTCTACGAGAATAAAACAGAAGATCAATTATTGTATAATAACAATTCATTGGTGAGCTCGATATTTAAAAACATGAGGCAAAATTCTTGCAAACTTGTTTCAAATGGAAAAAAAACTGGATGACTTTGAGCTTACTTTGATCCCAGAAAAAAATCAAGTAATAAAAAATCAATTGCAATAACATTTGTCTCCTCAAGTCTGAACACCAGCCCCAAACTTATAGCAAGCGTAATAAAAGAATGATTTAGATTAATAAAAAATTGTTTTTACAGTTTAATTATCATCATACCAACAAAAACTTTTTTAAAACAAGGAAAAAACGACAGAATTAAAACCGACTTCAGTGCCAAAAATCTACTTAAAACTTTCAAAACCAATAAGAATTGTTTTCAACTCTTAGCGTGAACACAGGGCACATATGCAGCCCATACAGTAACCATGCTTTTAATTAACAATTCAGCGCTACACTAACTATGTGACTGGTATAAAATAATTTAATAATCATTTGACCATTCTGAACACAAAGCTATTTTTTGACAAATTCTAGTACCGGAAAGCAATACCTTCATTTATCGCAGGGGCAATAATAATCATAATAATTGTATTCGTAAAATTTATAATCAAAATCAAAATGTTTTAACCATTTTAATATTAATTATAATAAATTAGGCTTCAACCCAGGGGCGGATCTAGGATTTTCTCGAGGGGGGTTTGGCGGACTTTAAATTTTTTTGAAAAAACAGGCAAAAAAGCGTTTTTTAGGCAGTTTTTAGAATTAGTTGACCGAAAATCGCGTTTTTTCACTGCGCGCTCCCCCTCAAAATTAGTATATTTTGGCGTATACTATTTTGGCGTTTAGTATATTTCGCCTTCAAAAAGTTTTTGAGGATCGTCAACCAAAAATGGATATCTTAAAATAGTTCAAAGGGGGACCCTTTGGGTCGGCAGGAGGTCAAATCCCTGAGGGAGGAAGGCGTCCGCCTCCCCCCTCCCCGCCCCCTCTAAATCCGCCCCGCTTCAACCCGTATTATCGGGGCTTCGTTTTCTTCGTTAAGAACAATTATTATTAGAATTTGTTTTTGTCTAACAGTTTCTGCTTAATGAATAATTCCTGATGTTGCATCTACCTCTTAATTTTGAATAACCTCTTTTCAATAAAGTATCTATGGAACGATAAATCAAAACTTAATCAAGTACAAATAAGGTTCTTCTTTTGTAAAAAAAAGTAAGGAGCACTCTTGGTTAAGTTTATAGGAAATTGTTTCGTTTGTATAAACTATCAAAAATTACAAGAGTTTTTTCTTCGAGTTTAATTTTTGCGGAGAAACTGAGGAAAAATATAGACTAATTTCGCGGTGACACTGTGCAGATAAGAAATTAGTATTTTCGATTGAATTTATTGTTTGTTTACTGATTAAGCAAGATTATTTGACATTCAAGTATAATAATTGATTAAATGTGTAACAATTTTGTTGACGATCCGTACTTTTAAGCACCGACGTACTACAACTCAGTGTGCTCGGGAATCCTGTACACTCCCATATTGTCAGCTGCCGATTTGGAAAGAGCACATCTGAAACCCAGATTGTACAGAGTCGCATTGCCAAATTGAGGCTTCCGAGCTGAAACGCGTGCCGGATGATTGTACGAGCCAGAAGTCGTGTCCAGGAAACTGGCGCCTTTTGTAATGTACCTCACATTTGATTTATCTGTCGTCTTCGGCTGTCCGACTTTTTTGAAAACTGACAAGGTCCATTCCCACGTGTTTCCTAGCATGTCATACATTTCAAAAATATTCTGGGCTGGGTATGCATTGATAGGCGAGAGTCCTTCGTAACCATCAAATTTCAGGTTCCTGTTTGGAAAAACCCCATCCCATAAGTTACTCCTGTTGTGCAAGTAGTCATTGCCCCAAGGATATTTCTGCTGGTAAAGTCGCCCTCTCGCGGCGAATTCCCACTCCAATTCGGTGGGCAGTCGCTTTTTCTTCCACGTGCAGTACGCGTTGGCATCCTGATAGCTGACGTGTACGACTGGTTCCAGCAGCCTGGATTCAAGGGGCTGCGAGGCACCGGGGCCCTCAGGTGCTTTCCAGCTAGCCAATGGAACCTTCAAAACAAGTAATGCAAAAAAACAGTGTGGCAAAAAAATTATTGTAGGTTGATGTTATCATAAAAGATATTACGCAACTTTTACATAATTACTCAAAGGAAAACAAAATCATCAAACGTAATATTTTTTGCTGTGAATCTCCAATAAATAACAATTAGTTTGAACAAATAAAAAGCATTATTTCAAAGCTCTTGAGAACAAAGAAAATATTCACTACTTGTTGTTTGTGATATTTTTCGAAAAATTTTTAGAAAGTAATTTTCTACATGCTCTTGAAAGTTAAAGTTGATGTTCCTCTTGAAAGTTAATGGTGATGTTAAAAAAGCAAATACCAAAAAAAAAACATGGTAACTCACCCGGACCATATGCTGTGTGTCCTTGTTCCATACATCTTTGCTCTTCTTATGGGCATTGGGCACGAAGTTACGGAAGACATAGCTGTAGCCCTGACTGATGGATCTAGGAACAAACTTCCTTTTGTGTTCCAGGAAGCGCTTGAAGAGAGCCACCGAAACTGGATATTTGTCAATCAGAAAGGGCTTCGCCTCTAAAATTGGAAACGAATTAAGGACTTTTTGCGGTTAATTATCAAACAAAATAGTCACAAAGTTATTGAATGACGGAAATGAAAACTATGATTTTTCATTTATCATTTTATTATCGCAAAAAAGAAAATATTATCGCAAATTATCGCAAAAAAGAAAATATTATCGCAAATTATCGCAAAAAAGCAGTATTATCGCAAAAAAGAAAATAAAAACTGCTCACCTAATGTCTTTGCGGTGAACTCGCCGAACTTGGAGTTGGGTTCATTGCTGCCCATTGATATACGACCGCCAGGTAGTTCCTGCATGATTTCATACTTGAAGTATTTGTCATCTGACCCTTTGATGGCTCCTGCTGGCGAGGCCGGCTCCGTCAGCTTCGGGGGAGGACGGAACCGCTTCAATTTTTTTATTGCCTCGCATCTTTTGTCTGGCAAAAAGTTTAGCATGAGTTTTTTTGCAGAAAAAATCAACAAAGCTTAAATTGATTTAAGTGAAGAAGAAAAAAATAGAATCAGAAATCCACGCAGCCTCTGATCTGTTTTATATGCAGCCCAGCAGGAAATTAGTCTGAATTGCAAAAACAGTCCAACTAGATTTTCTCGACTCTGAAATAATTAATAATAACATGAATAAACTTGAAATTGGCTTACCTGATTGAAAATTTAGTAGTATTATCAAAACTGGAAAGATTTTGGCTAAAGAACTGAAATTCATTCTTGAAACCAATTTTTTTCAGTCGAATAGCTGCTGTAATAAAAAATCTATTTACTTTTACACGCGTGCCGCAATGTTGCCACGTATTCATATGATATGGCAACATATTCGGAAAACAAACTAAAAGACAGATACAGAACTTAGTCATTTAAGCCAAACATGATTTTTCATAACTGAAAAAAATATATAATAAATTGATTTATTTTGAACTTAAAAACATGTATGAAATCATATTATGCTCAGTATTTGAATCAACTCTGCGTTTGAAGCCTAAGAAAATAGTCGAGAAAAATGTTTTGGTTTTGTGATTGATAAACCAGCCTTCTCGCAATGAAGTTATGATTTCTTAAGCTGAGTAATGAAGATAATCATCGTTTTTTCAATAACATTTATAATGAGGAGTTCAAAAAATGAAACTGACAAGAATCATGCAGCGTTGGTTAAGCTAAATTACATACCAGATGACAAGCAAAATGATTAAAAGTTGAAACTCTGAGTGTTTAAAAGTTGAAACTCTGAATTCTCGTGGGATCTCTAAAATCAGGGGCAGATTTGTCTTGGAGGGGAAGGCGGGGATGCCCTTTTCCTCCAGGTATTCAAGACCTCGCCAACCAAATTGTCCTCCTTTGGTACTATTTTACGACATCCATTTTCGGCCGATCGACCCTGGAAGTTTTTTAAAGGCGCCAATAGGTTTGAGCGCGGCGATCGCACCCCGAAAAAAAACATAATTTCCTGCTCAAAACCTTCCAAAAACTGCCCATATTCCTTAAAATATTCCTTGTTTTCTGAACACCAACATCGTAACATATGAATTCAAAGACGGAAACTTTGGGTAGCGAGGATTTGAGTCGGTATCGCTTTTGCCCATCGAGGTTTAAATTATATCATCGCTTTTTTTAGTTAAACAGAACGTAGACCCGGAAAAGGAGATTACCCTTCCAACTGATTTAAGAATCTCAATACAGCGCATAGCTATAATTACAATTTTATGAGTCAGCGGGCCACTCGGGCTCAAAATATCCAATTTACCTTCAGCAATGTTTTGTTTGATCGGCGAAAAAAAGATGCGCATTCATGCTTAGGTGGCGACGATTGTAAGAGAATTCTTGTGACAAAAAATGGGAAATCTTGTTTTGTAGGCGTAAAACGGCCAGTAAATTATAGCGGGTTTGAAAAGAAATCTTGCACTGGAAACATTCTTAAAAATTACTCAAGGAATTTGAATTTATGGACTCAAGTTGGTTCTTTGGAAAGCTGATAACCTTCACTCACTCTGACAAATGAACTGAAAGTGTTAGTTTTGCGCTAATGATTGAAAGAAAGTACCAAAAAACTTTTTAAGAGAATGTTCAGAAAAATTACATCTCCGAGCGGCGCACAATGTTCGCATAAGCAGATAGGTTGTCTCTAGTTCTTTCTAACTTTCTGGTGTAAGTGAGCAAGATTTTTTAATATCTTTATTGTCGAAACAACTAAGACCAATGTTCAACGCCAGATTCTTTCAATTCATTTGTTTGTCGTTTTTCCGCTGCATTGAGTGTACCAACTTGAGCCCATCAATTCAGTTTTTTAAGATGTTTCCATAGCAAGAAATCTTTTGAAACAAGCTACGACTTACTGGCTAATTCAAGCCATCAATACAAAATTTATCAACGTTTCAACCCGGTACCTCTTTCCATATAATTTCATCTAGCATGTGTCAGAATTTCAATCCTCTATTTTAATAGCTACCGGGAAAACATTAAAAACGTGAAGAAAAACACATTCAATTGCTCGTTGAAGTCGAAATGTTTCCTGTGACAGTAGTATAACAAGACTTCTATGTCCCGAGACTGTAGTATAACAGGACTGCTCGTATCATGTTCCGACTGCTTTTAAATTTCTATGGAGTAGCTTATATTATTATAATTGATGAAAACTAAAAAAGAATGAAAAAAGAAAAGAAAATATTTTTGAGTTTTTTGAAAATCATCACCCCAACGCTATGTAAAAAACATAGTGGTATAATTTGTATGGCAGTATTAATTAGATCAAATATAATGCATCAACCCAGCACGAAATAGATCGCGCGTTAATAGCACGAAATAGATCGCGCGTTAATTGTCGCAATCCTTAAGCCCCCATAACATTTTAAACTCAGCACAGGTAAAATAAATATATTTTTTCAAATTTGAGCTCAGGACAGGAATGCTTTTCGAAGCATAAAAAATGTACGCCGAAATTACTAATTAGAAAAAAATTCTTTCCAAATACATAAAATTTTGCGCGCAAAAAATAAGGAGTCACCGCGTCTGTAGAAAATTTTTCGCAACCAGTTCTTTCGATTAAATCGTTCATCTTTATTTTGATAGGATAATTTCTATCAAAATCAAAAAGATTCTAAAAGTGGTCAAAAGTTCAAAAACTTGAATTTCCGAAACCTATCATTTTCACTTAACCTAAGAATTGGCCAGGTAGTTTTTGAGAAAAGTTAAAGTTTCAAAAAAAATTGACTGCTACGCGAATCATACTTTTTTGTGTTACATTTTTTGGGCGTAGCCGTTGGAGCAGAAGAGATTCACACAATCTGTTGTTTCGATTGAACGCAAAAACTAAGATTTGAAAGTTTCGTTTTCGAAAAAAGTTTAAAAAGACGGTATAAAAAACAATTCTTTTCTTTTCCGAGGGTCATAAAATTTCGTAGAAATTTGGGCGTAGCCACTATGCAGCTGAGTTTCTCATAACGCGTTTTATCCATTGAACCCAAAATCTCAGATTTGGGAGAGTAGTTTTTGAGAAAACGAAATAAAAAAAATACAAAAATATGGGTCAAGCATTCACCCCAGACTTTTTAGAAGGCTGTAGACAGTAGGGTGAAACACAAAGAGACAAAGGGATACGCATGCACACAGAAGAGTAGGCGCTCTTTCCAATGATACGCTTGTTTGATTTTCGGTAGAGTCGTTTTCTACTGAGCTAAAGTTTTTGTTGAAATGTGAAAAAAAAATTCGATGGCGAAAAAAACTTTGAGAAAAACAAAGTTAGTCAAAATCAGACGTGGTAAAATGACAAATTACAGAACTTTCAATTGTAGTAAAACAAATTTCAATCAAAATAAAATGCATGCTTTACAAAGTACCATACTTGAGGTGCTGCTCTCATTTAACCGAAGATGACTCGTCAGTGATCATTGTCAACGCTCGCTTCTGCTCACATGTAGACAACTAATTATCCTGTGCTGAGCGATCATTGCCAACGGTTTTCTGCTAGGGCCACAGGGATTTGAATCAGTAAAACGCTTTGTAAATTTGAGATGACGGGTGAAGAACCTCCAAAACAACTCCACAGCGATAGCTGCCCCAACTTTCCCGCGAAGCAATGACATTCAATTTTTATGCCGTTCACTTGGATTCCTCCCAAGTAGCAAAACTCAGAAGAAGATGCTCCTTAAATAGTTTTCTTTACAAATCGTCAACCCCGAACCTTTGCTATTTATCAGGTTCGCTGACATTGTGGATATGTCACACTTCTGCTCATTGATTCCTCTGTTTTACAGCTACTTAGCTGTTTTACAGCTCGAGTATCTCATCTGTTTACCAGACACACTAGCAGTCATTTTGAGACTATCAGCTTAGAATCGCAATAGCCTTCTTTCTTGCGCCATATATTCTGTGCAAATTCTGCTATCGAGAGCAAAAATCAGGCCAGTGTCCGAGGGCAAAAACCAAACATCTCGTGCAAATTCTGCTATCGAGGGCAAAAATCAAGCAGTTATGCGTTCTTGTTTTGGCTGTTGAAAATAATTCAAGGCATGAAGAAATTTTTTTTTAATGTTTTTATTCAGAGATTTGAAGCACAAACGGAAAGAAGTGAATAATTACTTTCCCAACAAATAAGCGACAACAACAAACTCAATACATGACGTTGGGGTAGCAGAACACAGGACAAGGCAGTCATCCTACTATTTATACGTCCCTGGACAAATTCAAACACGATGCAGCCAACCAAAATTTCAATATTCTAAAAGCCGTGGGGGAAAATAGCAACCCCAGTCTTAAGAAGTACCGAGAGTTGAACGAACGAATAGCAAACATTGTAAATAGATTCCATACAGACTCAATCGAAATTTATTTATTTTATTTTGCTCAATTGAGTTCGTCTTAAATTTCAACTGATTTTCCAAAAAACATTCTGGAAACCCACAGTTCTGAGATTTTGGGGGGTTACAGGAGCCAATATCAAAATAATTTGTCTTTTTCCGTCACCCAGCTTCCCAGTACCGCCGTAGCCTGTACAGACTTTGGGACCTTAAGGTAAGGGATATTTTGTCTGTAGACCAATAAATATGAAAAAAAAAATCGCATTCGGTGTATGAAATCTTCATTTTTCAACACTATTGAATAATCAAAATATCCAAATTTTAGACAATTTTGTTAAGCGAATGTGATGATTTTTATGTTGTCCTTTTTTAAAATGAAAACCTTTTAGCTTCTTTTTGAAAATCTTTTTGCTTCTTCTCGAAATAAAATGAAAACAATTTCGCTAATTTTTTTTCAAAAAAAACGATGTTGCTTTAATTTATTAATTTCACTTATTTGTTTAACTTTATTTTAATAGTTTTTTTCTGAAGTCAACTTATCTTGCTTAATACATGTTAATTGCTTGAGTTTCAAATAGGATTGAAAAACTATTAATCGATAATGGCTTTACTACACTACTGTCTGTTTTGTTTAAAAAAACATACTACTTTTTGTCCTGAAAATTCGCCTGAGCAAAAACTTAGAGGTTGTTTTCAAGTTAAAAGCCCCAATTGATAATTTTGCGTCTTATTTCTACGGTTCGTTTTGAAGAAGTTAATATTTTTGGAACTGAACCCTGTTTTCCGTCTGCATGAATTTTTGAAAATGCTCGAACTCGATTGCGTATCAATCAGAAAGCTAATTTTAACAAGAGCAGCATGAGCAACACAACCGATTTTTTTTGGAAGTTTTACCGAATTATCACGGAACCTATTTTTCTAAGTTCGGATTCTAACTTCTTTCCGATTAAATAAAAACCACTTAGTTATCTGATGTATCGATATTTGCGCATTATTTGTAAACATTGCCATACAAAGTATTTTAAAAACCTATTCTGATGATGATATTCGTATTATTACTGCAGTTTTAACCGGGTTCTTGAAAAACCTCAAAACATTACAAAATCAGATGTAGCCCAGCAATAAGTCAGGTTTAGTTTCAAAAACTAAAAAAAAACTTTTCTACTAAAATTGTTAGAGATCTGCCAATTCGATTGCCTATTTTCTCTGCAAGAAACTTTTACCGCATCGATTCCGTGACTTTTACGAAAAACGAGCAGGATCTTTGGACGTAACACAGCGTAAAAAATCTTAACAGTTGGTTTTCAAAACAACGAAGTTGATCCACTTCGTTTTACATCCAAAAGCTGAGAGGAATTTAAAAATCATGTAATACTAATAGTAGATTTTATTCAATTACTAATCTACAGACTGAAATCTCATTAGAAGTACAAACAAAACTATTACGTGGCCGACAGTTTATGGACATACATTTTTTTTGATTTCCAAATTCGTGCATCGTATCAAATAAGTTGACAGAAAAGAAATCAAAGTAAGGAAGATTATGACCCAGGAAAACTATATGATTAGTTTTGATTGTTCGCATCAGAATGAGATCCACTTTTCTTTGATAGGTATTGTCCTTTGATCAGAGCTGATAGGTTGCTCGATGCCTTCCTCAATCGCACTCCCCCACTACCCTTGCCCTCTCCAAACACTTCATCTGTATCTCCGTTCGATTGACTTGACTGGCGACATCTCTGGAGCTCCACTGCTGATAGCTTTCTGGCCACCGCCTACAAAAATGTATTTTATGTAAATTAGTTAAGATCTCTAAAAAATGCTACATAAAAACAAATGAGGATTAAAAAATATACAAAACTAATCAAAGGACAAAAATAGCCAATCGAATATTGGAAAAATGTTCCATACGTTCAAGTTCTATAAAGCTGTATAATACCCTCAAAGTAACTGGGTTATTGCCGCCAGACTCGTCGTGTTTATCTTTGAGTAAACTACATTATATAACACAGGAAACAAAAAAAATTTTGTATTTAATTAATTATATATTCACTCCTGAGGAGCTCTATACATTGTATAAAAGGGGGCAGATCGCTTCGCAAAGTTCCATTTATCGCCAACTCTATTAGCGCTATTGTAGAGGAAGGACGGCATTCAATGCTGTTATATGACTTCATTGATAAAATGATAGTTTGCTGATATAAATAAGCAATTTTATAACGCTGGTATGGCTCTATCCAGCTTGTACACTTACCGTAACTAAACGGAATGGCCCCTTTTGTTTTCACATAAGCACCAGTGGCGGTGGCGTAGAGGTAAAATATGCGACTGGGACACCAGGGATAATGGGTTCGATTCCCAGAGCGAGCCGGGAAAAATAAAAAAGGTAATACGGGCTCAGGAGCTTACTGAGTTAAATCTAACAGAGGTATAATAAACTGGGAATGAGTAAGGGAAGGTTTACTCATTTTGTTGTGTTTAAATACAGGCTAGGTTTGCAGCAGATCAGCCGATCTCGTTACCTATCCTTTCGAAATTAAGTGCAGTTATTCTATTTGGAAAAAGTATCAAAATTTACTCAGTAATTTCGATAAATTATTTTGTTGTGTGAAAATAGACAGGGTAGGATTGAAGCCGATTAGCGAATCTCGTTACCTATCCTTTCGAAGTTAAGTGCAGTTATTCTAATTGGAAAAAAGTATAAAAATATACTCAGTTAACATAAAAAAAAACACTGACTTTCTTAAGAAATCTCAACTTTCGAATTATAAGAAAAAAAATATATGCCCTTGAAGATCTTTGAAATGCTAGAGCAATTTATGATTGGCGCTTTTTTGATAAACATAAACCCAGCTAGAGAAAACTGGATCAATAGGTAAAGTTTTTATTCCGTTGGAAATCTAAAAATGATATTCACTTTCGAAACTAGAAATCGTTTACGTTTTTTTTTGCGCCATTTCACGTTCGTTTTTGGAGAGTGCTATTTCCGTTACTTTCAGCAGATGAATTTCAATTGAACTCAAAAAATGCAAAGGTACCTAGGTGCATTAATAAATGCATCAATATGTATGATTGCACATCTGTAGTTATTAGAGACTTTTAAAACTTTTCCTAAAAAAAACAACAAAAAAAACCAGCAAGACCTATATAAGAGTTTCCACTACGTTCATTACTCTTAAACAATCATTTTTGACAGCAAACATGAATTTTAGCGGCAGAGATTTCGGAATTAACTGTATTTTCATCTTTGGATATGTTAACGCTAAACTGATAGTTCCTTTGGTAAAATAACCAAATTATTTAATCTAAAGCGCCGAAGGGTATCGCCCTTTACCTCCAGTTGCTGTTTTAGCCCCTTGAACGTCTGACTGTCGTCCTCGATAGCTCGAAGCTTCTCTAAATCGGACGCATGCTCACTCAGAGATTCCTGTAGGTCATTGACCTCTTTCTTCAATGTCCGATTTTCCTCTTCTAGAGACTGAATTTTGGCCGCTGACTCTGCCAGTATCTTGGCTTGGTCCTAAAGAAGGGGAAAATTAAACCAGAATTTTACAATCATAACATCTTGCTCGAACAAATTTCGGGTTTTAACTGGTGACATGTCGGAACGTCTTAAAGCCTCTCTTGAATTTTCTAATAATATAATCACTAATATTATAGATCCCGAACCTTATAACCAATTGAACGAAAAACAAAAGGATAATGACTTTTTCTACTGTTTAAATGTGTTAAATCAGTGGCTGAATAAATTCATTCAATAAATAAGATTTTGACCAAATGATTTAGTTAATTAAGACAATTTTGAACCCCTAACCTGCACTGCTTCATTAGTCGATGCTTGTTTCAAAGCGTTCAACTGCTGCTGCAACTGTTCAACTTGGCTATTCTTCGCATCTCTGAACTCAATTATTTCTCGGCGAACTCCATCCATAAATTTATCATTATCCGCTATATCAGCTCGCAGATTCTCATTTTCTTTGTCTTTGGCGTTCAAGCTTCTGCTCAAATTCGTTTTTTCTTTCTGAATATCCGCAACTTGCAATAGAAGTTTAGACGAAGATTCTTTTGAAGACTTCTTCAGCGCTTCGAACTCAGATTTTTTAAGATCGAGTTGGTTCTGAAACTGATTATTTTCCTTCACTACTGTGTTATATTTGGCCCTTAGATCCTCGTATTTTGTTTTCAGAGCCTGATAGCGTTCTTCGGAGCCTTTTAATTCGTCGCCCATTGCAGCGTTAACAAAGTACAAACCAAATCAGTTTAATTGAACAAAAAATTCTTCGAGAAGTTGTAAGATTAGGTCATCAAAAGAAAGACCAAAGACGGTAGAACATAGTCGAATTAACAATAAATAAGTACGTCAATCAAGCATTGTTAGAAAATAACAAATGTGAGCTTACACGTCAGTTGAAGAATCGCACAAAGGCATTCATCGCCAATTTAGAAAACATAAAGAGAAGATCGATAGCTAGCAAGCTCAAGAACTCAAAAATTGTCCACATAGTTCAAACTCACTTTGAGTGGGCCTTATTATACGATTTTCATGTTTTTAAGCAGCTATACTGATTTTTTTACCTGAGTTTTACCATTGAGATGATACCATATCATTAATGAATACCAATTTGTACTATGCTACATGTTGGCTCTTGAGTCTTAAGGGACTGAAATGTATTCAAAATGAATCTTCAAGGACCGTCACTTCGGATCAAAGTTCTGCCTGCGAGCTTAAAACTTATGTTATCAACGATTATAAAATACTTGCTATCGTAAGTGTAAAATTCATCAGACAATTTGACACCTTGGTGAAGTCGTTTCAACTGAATCACAGCGGCTGGTGATGCTGAAAAATTTCTGTATGAAAATATCCACGCTACAAGCATTGGTACGCAGAAACATTACAACTGCAGGCAACTGCGTCTCCGCTACTAAATCAGGAGGTCGACTCTATTCACTAACACCACAGCCATTTTGATTACAATCTATAATTTATAGACTGTAATAAAAAAGTCCTTACGCTCAGTAACTTCAGTCGGCCTACTAGATTAGAAAGACTATACAGGTGCAAATTTTTTTCATTTGATAATCGCACGTAATACAACGCAAGCATTACAGTTCAAATAATAGTAGTTCAAACTGCCTTTCCAGTTTCTCGAAATAACCTGATTAACCTGAAAGTTTTGTAGCGGAATATGCAAATTGAAACAAGCAAGGCCGGTGGCTGCTGAGATCATATACTTTTCTCTCTTAGTTTAAATTACAAAAAAAAAACAATTTCCCAGTTTTCTTTTATCGAAAACCACTCGCTCAATATGACAAACTTCCAAATTATCAATAAATTATCAATTGCATACAAAACCTTAACATCAAGCAGTTGCGTGCGCAGAATTTGTTTTCTGGCTATGGGGGTGGTTTTTTGAAGAAAAAAAATTGAAAATTTTGTCAACCTTTTGACCTCAATTTGATTTTCCGAGCTCTTGGAAAATACTATAAGGACCCTACCCTATTAGCTAAAAAAAATTCGCCACAGGCATATTTTCGAAAAAAAAACAGGCTAAAAATGACGTTTTGAGCATTTTAAAAAATATTTGACCAAAAAATTGCGCGGTTTCCCCTCAAATTTAGTTAAATTCGCGCCGAAGGCACCTTTTAATTATTTTTGATGTTGGCCAGCCAAACGTTGGGGGGTCCCTTTGAAAAAAACTTGCAACCAAAAATTTCAGTTACGAGAACAGAAAATTTGAGTTCAGCCACGAGAAAAGATTTAATAGCTAGCCGTGGAATCAAATTTCAGGCGATTTTTCTCACGATTGTTTGCGTTTTCTGAAAAAAATGACAGATGAGAACGCTTCAACATAAAAAAAACTCACTCTAATTCATCGCTTGAGCACAAAAAACGTGCAATCAGAACATCCGAACACATAACTCCTTCCAATAGAAAGGGAATAAACTAAGAACAACAGTAGCCAGTTTCTGTGCAAGTATCAGAAAAAGTTCTGACCATATTCGTAAAAGCTTTAAAAAGGATACATTTCTTCAAATTTGCGCCAACTTTGTGAGTGGTGCGATGAGAGCGTTGGCAAATCAAACAGCCAACACAGGACAAAAATATATATGGAATCACTGAGACTCCGCAAGACACGTTTTTTTTTCAGAAAAAATTCTGGTTTCCGGTATGATATCGTATCGTTGTGAACTTTATATTCTAAAGTTACAAAGAAAACTTTTTGAGGGTAACAATCACAAAACTTTCAGGAAATTTTTGATATTGCTTCGAAAAAAAAAATTTTTTTCAAAGGGTTTCAAATTTCGAACACAATAAAATATTTCAAAAACACAAGCAAGCATTCAAGTTAAGTTGTGTTTAGAGATTGTAAACTGCCGAAAAGTTTAATAGAGGATTGAATATGCGCAACATTGACTTCTACGTCTCTCTGAAATATATTCTGGTTTGATGTTCTCAGATTCGATTTCATATCTGCAAGTGTATCATTCAAAGACTTCGTGTCGAAAGCTCTCGTTTCTCCTTCCGCCATAGATTTCAATTGTAATAAGGCAGAGGCTAGTTTTGTAATAAGATTAGTAGAATTTTCGGGTAATTGGCAACTAGTTAACTTTTCTACCAACTGTACCGCTTTTTCATCACACTTAGACTTGTGATCGGTAAGTAAGAGGGAATGTTCATTATTAGGCGTCACATTCCGAGCTAGCTTTTTAGCTGATTCTAAATGATGCACCAAGTCTTTATTTATCACTTCCAACTCCAACAGCAAGCTAGCATACTTTTGTTGAAAATCAAGGGTAAAATCAAGATTTCTTGCTATAGTCTCCTCGGCTAACGAATTTTCGCAGCATAATTTATCGATCAAGTATTTCTTCCTCGTTAGCAATTTTGTTAAATGGACTAGAGTCCCTAAAAACTTGATAGGGAACCCTCCAAACGCAGCGTTACTTTCGATGACCGTAGAAGGCTCCGGGTTCTCGCTCGAGAGTCCCGTGTCAGTCTCGGTGACAATGACTGCTCCTGGTTCCGCTTTGGAGACATCGGATGGTATGTTTGGCTCTTTGTGAAGTGTTATTTGTCTCTTCACGTCCATGAACGAGTCCAGAGGTCGGAGCACGTACTTGTCTGGACACCACACTTCGGCGTCTGAAATCCAGAAGGATCCGATGCCTAGTTTGGGGAAATTGATTCTGTACAGATTTGTGGCCACATCGATTGCAGCTACAGTTCCTTAACACAAATATTTGGTTTCAAAGCTACATTTTCAAGACTGGTACATAATTTGGGCTTGCAGGAATTATACGCAATTTCAAGCCTATTGATTAACTGTAACAAAAGCAAAGCGCATTCAGATCAAAACGAATCTAAGAAACTAACCCGTGTACAACCCTGACTGAACTTCTGCGCTCTGGTACAAATAAGCTGTGACCTTTGACCCCACCGGGATAGCCCTGGGAATATGCGCAGGAATGTCTCTGAAGTTGACAGGGTCTGCCGGCCTCTTCATCTGCAACCAGCGCACTTTGGCTCTCTTCCTCTGCAGCGCTCTTCTCTCTTCGTAAAGGAACACATGTGAACATCTTCGAGGCTTACCTGAACAAAAATGAAACAGTTAACGGTTAAATAAACAAGTCAATAACAACAGTGGGATTTTTGAAATGAATAATTTATACACAAATTAGTTTTCAAAATTATAACATGCGAAATGCATGCGGGACCTGTCTATCATAGTTACTTTTTCGAGGGACCACTCTATCATTGTATTGTAGTACCCCTCACCTCACATCAGCATCAATTTTATAGTGCAATGAGGGTTTTACGAGGTTATTTTGACGACCAAATATGTTTGTCATGGCCTAATTAGTTAGCATGTCAATGTTCATAACAATCGGTTGATGGGAACAGTAATTTTACAGTAATTCGCAAGGGGAAGGGGGAAAGGAAAAAGAGCGGGCTACTCTATCAAAATCACAATTGCACCTCTAAGATCCTTTTCCTATGAATGATTGAAGTTCAGGAATAAAAAAAATTAAAACATTGTTCAAGGGGTTTTTCATGTGTATAATTTATGCATTTCAAAATCCGGCTGATCTAACTTTCTGATGCCACTCTGAAGTGGTGCGTTGTCATGAAGAACGCTTATGATGAACTAAACTTGCCTGTTTTTTTTTTTCAAAATAAATATTTTAATGATTAACTTTAGCATTTTTAGGTGCTTGTAATGTTTAAATTTCGGCTTGAAGTCCCGTCGGCTTGTTGTCCTAGACCCGATTGGAACTTCTTTCGTTGTGAAGTGAGCGAGTAAGCAACGTGGACAATTAGACTGCTTTGTACGAATATTTTGTTGTTTTGTCTAATTTGTGAATACTCGAGCTATAACAAATTCAGCTACTCTAGACTGTACTCAGAGCCCTGCTAGCTCAGTCGGTAGAGCGTTGGACTTTTAATCCAACGGTCAAGGGTTCGAGTCCCTTGTGGGGCGTATCTTTTTCATACTATTGTACATTTTAGAAAAAACTTAAAAGTGAAAAAACAGGAAATTTTTTTTCAGTTCATCTCACTTCTGCTCTCAAATTCTCCACTTTTCAATGCGAATTAATTAATTAAGTTCCCGTCTCTTTTCCAGTTTCCCACCCCCTTGTTAAATTATAAAACAAAGATTTAAAAAAATTGTTCACGCAGCACGGCAATTTGCATGTTAGAAATGTTCTAGAAATGTGTTCACATGCTGACACGTTTTATTGCAGTTTCTAACATGAAAAGTCAGTTTAAATAGACTTTCCTATAATGATTTTCAGAAAAAAATAAAGGGGGGACTGGAAAAGAGCCAAGTTCATTTTTCCAGTTGATTGTTTCTGAAAAAACCTTGATTGTTTCTGAAAACCTTGATTGTTTGTGACAAAAACCTTGATTGTTTACTGAAACTCATAGCTTCAAAAACTTGCGAGTTGTCGCTTTCCTTAAATTTTGCGAGCTGCTGATTTTGCGAGCTGTTGCAGTACCATAGTTGGTACTACTATGATAGAGTGGTCCCTCGAAAAAGCAACTATGATAGACAGGTCCCGCATGCATTTCGCATGTTATAATTTTGAAAACTAATTTGTGTTATAAATTATTCATTTCAAAAATCTTGCAAAATATGTTCAGCCAAAAACTTTTCAGACTGAAAATTGTAATCACTATTGTTTATATATTGAAATTTGGTCGCTTTACTTTATTTTACGGTTTAACAACCATATGATTGGGTTGACTTTTTTATCAAAACCCAGGCTCTTTTCCAGTTTCCCCCCTTTCAAATTCAAATTTGAAAAGCTTAATTAACGTTGTCAGAAGGCAATAAAATTTGGCGTGGTGAACAAATCGACAATTGTGAACAGATTTGTTCTTCATACTTTACAGCGTAACATCACGCATTTAACCGTAACAACACGTAAAACAAAAATAAAACTAGGTATTTTGAAAGGGGGGGGGGGACTGGAAAAGAGCCATAACCCACTATCGGCGGTTTTTTTTTTAAATTTTCAACATTAAAATGGTGAGGGGGATGTTTTAAGAGGTAACAAAACATGAAATTACGGAACGAAAAACTTATTGGAAAACATACTGCGACATCTTTCTGAAAGGCGTAATCATAATTATTAAACGATTTGAGAGCTCTAGGTGTCTTATTCTCCAGGGACCTGGTTGTTTTTAAGGGACCACTCCATCACAGCAGTACCTGTAGATCCAACAAACGCAAACAAAAAAGGGTTTTACAATTTTCAGGTATTGTATTTGAATGATGTTTATTACCAAATTAAATAAATTAATGTTTTTGTTACTCAAATTTCTCTAATGGAACTGTCAATTTTGTATAAATCTAGGCTATACTCAGAGTTATTTCCTGAAAACCTCATAATTTCTCCCCCTTAGATCGGTTTGGGAGATATTGGAGTCTTTTCGGTTATACCACGCTAAATAAAGAAAAATGAAAATACAAATTTTCAAACAAAATTGGACTGATTTTGTTTACAAATGCAAGACTGATACACCAAACGGTAAAATCAAGCTAGAAAAAAGCGAATTAAACGACAAAAACAGGCGCATTTGGCATCTTTTTTAAAAATGAAACGTATGCGCGTTAAACGGTAAAAAAATGGGAAAAACAGTCAGTTGGAGGCTAAATAAAGTAAAAATGCTTTGTTTTTATTAGTTCTATAAAAATATATCTCTCCAAAATGTTCAGGGCGGATTTTCAAAAATTTTCCCGACTATCATACTTTGAGTCAAACCCTATTTTGACCAAAGTTTCTGCGCTACATTTTTTGGAAAGTTTCGACCAAAAACCTTGTGTTTTGACTAACCCCCTTTAATCTGCTACTACTCCTGGCATCAACCGTACAATCTCTCCACTATGTGACTAACCGTAGAATGTTCCCCTAGCCACTTAAAAATTTTAAAAGGTATACAGTTTGGTACTACTATGATAGAGTGGTCCCTCGAAAAAGCAAGTAGGATAGACAGGTCCAGCTGAATTTCGCATGAAATAATTTAGAGAACTAAGTTATATTTCCATTATTCATTTAAAAAAATTGGCGAAAAATGTTGAGCCAAAAATTGTAATTACTATGTTGTTAATATAAAAAAATATGCTCGCTTCAACTTATTTTACGATTTAACAACCATAAGTGGGTTGACTTATTTCTCATCAAAACTCAATTTTGGCAGCTTTTAAACTTTTCCACCTTGAAATGGTGAGCGGTGACTTTTCGGAAATTACGGAACGAAAAACTTATTGGAAAACATACTGCGACATCTTTTTGAATGGCGCTGAATAGTTTGAGATCTCTAGGTTTCTTATTCTCCAGGGACCTGGTTGTTTTTAAGGGTGTAGATCCTGTAGATCCAACAAACGCAAACAAAAGTGGGTTTTACAAATTTCATGTGTTGTATTTGAACGATGTTTATTACCAAACTAAATAAATTAAGGTTTTTGTTACTCAAATTTCTCTAATGGAACTGTCAATTTTGTATAAATCCAGGCTATACTCAAAATTATTTCCTGAAAACCTCATATTTTCTCCCCCTTAGATCGGTTTGGGAGATATTGGAGTCTTTTCGGTTATGCCACCCTAAATAAAGAAAAATGAAAATACAAAATTTCTAACAAAATTGGAGTGATTTTTTTTACAAATGCAAGACTGATAGCTCAAACGGTATAGTCAAGCTAGAAAAATGCAAAAAATGCGAATCAAACGACAAATACAGGCGCATTTGGCAAAAAATGGGAAAACAGTCAATTGGAGGCTAAATAAAGTAAAAATGCCTCGTTTTTATTAGTTGAATAAAATATATTGCATTTGCTTGTAAACGTGTCCCAATTTCGTTATAAAAATTTACTTAGATCAGCTAACTTGATTTTCCGAGTTTTATAGAAATTAGAAAATACCAAAAACTCCAATTGGGACTCGAGGAACAAAACTCAGAAACAACGAGAACTCTGTAGAGAACAGAATTGGGATTTCCACTAAAAAGCATGACCGGGTCGAGAAAAAAGGTGTATCGATCGACTAGCATAAACGCTTTTAAACAACTGAAATTCATATCGGCTAGCATGAAAAATTGAAACACTAAATTCAACACCGAGGTGAAGCTGAGCTTCGCATCACTTGCGATACAAAAACAGAAAGCCTTTCAGTCAGAAAAAAAATACTGCACAAAAATTTTCGCTACCTCTTTCCTCGACTGAACCCTCAATCTCAGATTCGGCAGGGTAATTCATGACAAAAACCCATAAGAAAAACGGCTTTTTTCTACATAAAACATGGCCAACATACAGTTTGAAAAGAATCAATGAACGCGGTTAAACAGAAAAAACTACTGACTTGTTTCATGAAAAAATCTCATATTTCTAATTGCAAAGAAAAAACAGATGGTCTGAAAGCCCTTTGAACTTTTAGAACAACTTATGATTGACACTTTCTAGCTAAAATTAACTGACGTTGAAAAAACCGTATTGATTTGTAAATTTTTTATTTCGCCGTGAAATCTGAAAAATATATTCCACTTTTCAAACTAGAACTTGATCACATTTTTTGTAACCTTCACAGTTTTGCTGTTCGATGGTGGAATGTGCCTTCTTTTCAACAAAGGAAACGAAATCAACTTGGAAAAAAATCAAAGCCTAGCAGCGATCAAGTAAAATTAAGCCAAACAAATATTAACACTTTTTCTGAAAAAAGGAAAAAATCATCGCGAATTATAAAAGAGTCTGAACTAAGTTCATTGACACTTAACAAAGACCTACCATTTTATCCAGCAAAGAATAGCGAAATCCAGGTAGAGTAAATTTTTGAGAACATCCAAAAATTTCCGAAAAAACGATCAAATTTTCAAAAGCTTGACTTTTCCCTGGGAGGTTACAAAAATTAGGGCATATTCGCTAATGCAAGTAGGATTGCCAAAATCCTTTATTTCCATTAAACTTTTGATATAAGACTTGACAGGGTAGTTTTCTAAAAAGAAGTAATAAAGTTTCCAAAAGACGCTCCAATACTCAAATAAATTTGACTTTCCCGAATACTATATCTAATTTTCTACAAAATCGAGGCTTC